AGTTAAGTATTTATGTGAGTTTAGGTTTTTAGAAGGAACAGGATCTGTTGGGGTCAAGGTGCGGTACTTCACTCTCAAACCACAACAAATGGAACTATCAGAAACCATGTCACAAGTTCTTCACTCTAAAAACAGTATAGGTATAGGTACAAGGTATAGAACTTACCGGACTATTTTACACACCTGCATAAAAACGGCAAAATCTACATTTAAAAGAATTTATCGTCCACACTTGAATACACAGCAAAAAGTGACAAACTATGAGATAATAAATGCTCATATCAAGTGGTTTTCATTTTAACTTGAATACATTCTGTTTGTCTTAACGCGAGATTGACCTATGGGACAAAGCCATTTAGTCCTATTTCAAGAACTGTGTCTTTATTTCAAATTAAATAATGACAATTCTTGTACCTTTTTAAAAAAAAAAGATTGTTTTGCTTTGTCCCATTGGCAAATTGTGTTTCAAGGCAGTAAAAATGTGCTCAAATTAAGATACGTTTTACCAAATTTGAGCAATGTTCGACTTATTTTTCATCACTTTTTGCAGTGTCTGTAAGCAGCATTCCACCCTTTACCTCTGTATCATAGCATCATATTTACAAATATATGAACAACTGTATTTACAATGTATCTGCTTGAAATGGATTGGGGGGATAGAAACCTTTGACAGGCCACTTGTCTACTAAATAAAAGCATGGACAGTTCTGCGAAACATACATTTGATGAAGTGGTGCGGTGACGTGAGAGAAACAAGCTTGTCTTGAAGATAGAAAAGTAAGAAATTGCTTTTGACCCCAGATGGGTGGGGCCACAACCCCCGTTCCCATCAGTGGGAGAAGCCTGGAGCAGCTGACATGCTACATATATGCGTCTGTGGACTTTGACCCTCATCTGAAGCGAGGTCAGCCGGGACCATTTGTCTGTTTAAGAATTAGCTTTCCATTTTTAAGAAGACTCAGGGGAAAGTAGAAAACATGAATCTTGTGGCAGTTTGTGTTGAAAAAATCTCCTCGCATTACACAAGGGGCACATTGACAAGGGGACAAGTGAAGCTTCCAGAATTTATAATAATAATAATGATGCATCGGTTTTATAAAGGTATTTTTTGGACACTTAAAGACACTTCACATGACATTATTCTTTCACTCCATACATGGTGGCCTGGCCATAGCCATCCGCACACTCCGCTCAATCATCATTTCACTGCATGTAACGTCTGGGTCTGGTCCCTGTGTTAGCGAATACAATCGGTCGTATTTCGACCGGCTACTCAGAGAGCCGAACGGGCAGGTTGTGATTTGGCAATGGCGAAGAATGCGATAATAAAGTAATCCGGTCTGGTTCTATCAAGAAATTGAAGCAGGAGCAAGAGGAATGTTTAGCAAATGAAATCGCTGGTCAAGATTGTGGCGCTACTCCCCACGGGCTCCGTTAGCGGCAAAGAAGATGGCTAGGCTAAATGCTAAATGCTAACAACACACTCGGGCGCACTACATACATCACGGTAAACTCGGATCCAATCATTTCAATCTGCAAAAGGAGTTAACCCTTCCCACCTGTTCACGGAGCTCAGTGGAGCAAATCCAGACCTTAGTATGAAATGTACTTTGTACTATGGTGTGGTACAACCAGGCTACATACACAGTGGTGATAAACTACTACTGTAGCCACAGCTGCCCTGCGGCAACTGACAGAAGCGAGGCAACCAGTATGTGCCATCGGCCCCTCCAACCCACACCAATCATTCACACACACACCAGACTCATTCTAATAAATGTGGGTGAAGTGTCTTGCCCAAGAACACAACGACAGCTAACATCAGAGGCAGTCGGTGGAGAAAGAGCATTGGTCTCAAAGACCAATGCTCTACCAACTGAGCCACTGTTGCATATAATGGAAATATGCAAATAACAGTTCAATTATAATCAAGTTGTCAACTACTGTCAAGACAGACTTACACTGCTAACTACTGACTGAACCCTTTCAGAATATAAAAACTGCAAAAAGTCAAAAATCTCTCATATTTGGCAAAATGTATCTTGATTTGAGCATTGGACAAAGCAAAATGATCTTGTTTTAAAAATATATCAGAAATGACTCCTTTGGAATGAGAAATAAATGCATCAGTTCATGAAATAAGACTAATTGACCCATTGGTAAATCTTGTTTTAAGACTGTCAGAATGACCTCAAATTTATATAAACTATAAAACTGTGGATTAAAGCAATAATTGCCTCATATTTTGTCATTTCTTTGCAGTGCACTGTATCTATCAGTGACGCTGGAATCAGATTAGACGCACTATTCCCACATTTACACGATTGTGAAGAAAACCCAGGTGGGAAAACAAAGCAGAATACAATGTCAAACGTGTACGGAGTGATAAAGATATACAAAAGACAAATACATTCATACAAATCCCTTAGATCCGTAACACGTATGAAATAAGCCCGTGAGCTTCCTGCAGAATACAGAGCATGGCAGAAGAAGGAAGGAAGAACAACCCCCTTCTATTCAATTCAATGTATTTGTGTATCACCCTAAGTCACAACAGCATCTCGGAGGACTTAATAAAGCTTTAGATTCGCCAACAACAGATCAAAGAATCAAACTGTTCAAACACAGGAAATGCAGTAATAACAAACACATACTGTAGGAGCCATTGGTCCATAGAGAGAGGGATGACACAGTCCAGAAATGTTAATAAATGTGCAAAAATGTCCCCGATCTTCACTTCTTATTGGTTATTCAACACATACAAAATGTAAAAAGAACATATCAAAGCCGCAAGCTGCGTTGAATGGCCCTCGCTGCAACGCTCAAAACCCCATGTAAAACTTGGGCTCAGTCTGTAGGGGGCGCTAAAGAATATTTGAATGGAATATTTCACACCTTCAGGTGACCTAGGCCCAGGAGTAGAACAACCGAGTCAAGTTTAGTACAAATCAGATTTTGTATGTGTAAATAGAAGCAAATGTATAATCTGTGAGTGTGTCCATATATATACAGTCCCCATTGGATGACCATGTGAATAATCAAAATTTTATGAACATGTATTGAAGGTAGATGTGTAGAGATTATGGGAAGCAATTTTCAGCCAAATCTGTAAAACGGCCGAGGCTGGTTTGATGTTCCTGGAGCGGAACAATTGTAAAATGTTGTGCAAATCGGACTTTGTATGTGTAAACGGGAGCAAATTTGGTATTGTCAAAAATGGGAAAAAAAAGTTTACATTTTGCCGCTCCGCTGCTCGAACGTTTAACTGATAAAAATTTCACGAAATCAAAATGATGGTACATGTGTTTAGACAATGTGTAGCAAATCGGTGAAACGGCTGAGGAGTCGCCGCTTTCCAACCGACATGTGTGAAAAGGATAATGTTTCATTTTTCCATTTTGCAATGAAATTGATGGGCCTCCTGTTTGTCAGGGGGCGTGGCCATAATAAAAGAATGTCATGTCTTGACTTGATTAACACGCGTACCGAATTTTGTGGCTGTACGACAAACTTGACTTTGGACCCCCTCCCATAGGCGCAATGTTAACTGACTTTTGTAGGGGGCGCTGTTCTGGCATTTTTTTAGTCCCATAAAAATAAACACCAAAAAGTTAATTTTTTTGGCAAAATTTACCAAGTTTTCATTCATGTTCAGGGGGTCAAATTAAGATTCAAAGTGAAGAAGAATTTTTGAAAGTCTCAGAAAAAACACAATGTAGGTTTGAATGGCACCTGATACATCATTTTAAAGTGAGTTTACGAACGCAAAAGTCACGTTTTGGTGAGTGACGGGCACTGACGCGTCCGTCACGCACCGCCACCCCTTGCATTCACCATTGTGAAAGCTATAGGCCTTTTCCCCAGTCGCGGCTTGGGCCTAAACAAATCTCTCGCTCATGTTTTGGGTGGTGAGGGACTGAGGTACAGACCCCACACAGAAAATAATGTACAGTACTTAAAACAAGACTATCATACTGCACTGCACAGGGACTGACCTCGTGCTGGTGCCAAGAGTCAGGACTAAACATGGAGAGCCAGCATTTCAGATTGATGTAGCTAAAATCTGGAACAATCTTTCTGAACATGCGGGACAAGCTTCCTCTATGTTCAAATCCAGGTTAAAAACTGTTCTGTTTAGCTGCATACAACTGAAGGTTTACTCTTTTTTATCAAATTGTTTAGACTTGTAAAATAAAAGCGGCCCTGGTGACATGGTATTGGACCTGTGATTGGGGACCACTCCCCGCTCCCCAATGTTTTTTTGGGCAACATTTCCGAAACAGCCCATGTGAATTTAAGCTGCAGTGCAGGGGGTCTCCTATGCTGGAGACGGGTAATATAATACATCCATGGTCACAGTGCCAGAACGTCAAAAGCTGTGGCTTCATCAGTGCCCAACTACTGGCTTAATTACATCATGAAAAGTCAAAATTATGAAATCATAAAAAAAGCTGACACACACACTTTAAAGGGACATTGTACAACTTTTTATGTTAAAAAAAATAAGATGCTATTGGACCTCGGTGCCTTTACTCTGCATTACAGTGACGCGTAGGAGACAATAGGATGTAGTGTTTGGAAGGTTTTCTCTGCTGTGATACTTAGAAAACCTACAAAACAATTGATCTTAGAGAACCATAGACAACCCTGATCAGCAATGTGTCATTGTGACCACTCATTACAGCCACTGGGTCCCTACGAGTTCAAATACGCACACCAGATCCCGTCACATTATGGTCCCAAATAAGGAATAATAATCCCATCTTTAACATTTTGTATTGTGACATCCCAAATCACGATGAATCAACAAATTGTGCATCCAAATTTGCAAAAAAAACATTATTAGCGGTGAGTATTCCTGCGGGGCCTGGCAGCAGCAGGTATCAGAGCAGGACTAATAGCAGACACATGTCCGACAGGGTGACCACGCGGCCTCTCTCCGCTCCTCCAAATTGCTTTTCATTGTGCCCACACCTGTGCTGTCAGCGCCATGTCAGTCATTAGAGCGGGATGGGAACACTATAGCCACTCTGATACAACACAATTAACTGCACTGACCCCGCGTAAGAACAAGACATCACGCCCTCGCTCACACTGGGACAAGGAAGCACACACCAAATATGGCAAATGACCATTACGTTGACCAAACTATGTGAAAATTGCAAAATTCAGGGTATTGTTCAAAGGCATGTATTTACTTATTTTCATAGCTAGAATATTTCACAGAGTTTGTAGACGATACTGTATATTACACATGGGTTTGCCCTTTAAAAACTAATGAAATGCCAAAAAATATGTATGGCCACTATTTTGGTTTTTAAATGCTCTGACTGAGATGTCATAGTGATGTCGGAGTTGTACAATGACATCACACTGTTACAGGACTGAGACAGGAGCTTTTAGACAGAAGCTGCAGGGTTAAATGTTTATAGCTGAAGTTTAATAACTTACTATTTAACAAAACATTAGCAATGCACGGCCCACTGCGGGATAGAAGAGGAATCGTATCGGCTTTTCATGACATACTATGCAGAAGCCATTTGTCTGGACTGGGAATGCTACAATAGGTGTGTCCAAATCCTTCCTTTTTGTGAGTTGTGTGACCAAATTTTGTCATGTCATGTTTTGTCCCCTTTATTAATCCATTTCTGAGTCGGGGGGTGGCAGACCATTAGGACTAAAGACCAGTGCACTATCAACTGAGCCACTATCGCCCCAAATTTCATTCGAGGCAGTAAATCCTAAACATTCGCAAGTACCTGTTTTAAATTTAACAAACTCATTAAGAACGCGACTGTTGTGATCAAACAGGGGCATTAAATCTGCCACAGATGTTTGTTTTTAACCTCTTTACGGCTGTGATGAAACTCAGTTTGGCTCAAAAAGTTAAGCTAACGTGATGAAAGTCTATTAAATCTTTTGAGATCATCATTTTTTCCTAACAGAAAGTAAGTAAGTAAGTAAGTAAGTAATCTTTATTTATATACCGCCTTTTCACTGCACATCGGAGTCTCAAAGCGGTTTACAATTGTTATTTTTGGGAGCAGGGGTGCCAGTACAGGAGGCACATGCCAGACCTATTGTACATATTTTTAGTGGTAGGGGAAACCGGAGCACCCGGAGGAAACCTACGCAGACACGGGGAGAACATGCAAACTCCACTCAGAAAGGCCCTGGTCCAACCGGGATTCGAACCCAGGACCTTCTTGCTGAGAGGCAAGAGTGCTATCCACTCAGCCACCGTGCCGCCCTTAGTCTCATTGCCACTAATTCAGATGTAAAGTGGTTAGCCCTGGCCTGCAAGAAGATTCATTAAATCATTGTGCGCATTTTTGTAAAGGCTGTTATAGATGTTATAGATATGAGACAAGATTTTTTGTTTTATTTCAGAGTCATTTTCCAGTTAAAGGTGCAGTAAGTGATATTGTTAGCTTAGCCATAGCACCATCTCAACCCCCCCCCCCGAGAAACAGGAAGAGTGTGAAGGTGGTAAACGCATCCCATTGGTTCGTTGAGGATGAACGAATCCCATGAGTTTATTTTTATCGGCCCGCTACGAAATATTTTAGTGATATACTTTTAGTCTTTAAGGACGTTTTCCCACAAAATAAAAAGAAAACGTGTCTGGAAAAAAGCCTCAGCCACATATACTAGTTTATTTTAGCTACTTAAGACTCAAAACTGCAACAATCAGAGATATTATAAGGATTTGGGACTTTTTAAGCATATGCTTCATAAAATCCCCTTTTCAAACCCTATATGGTTGTACATCTGTTTGTGGAACTGTGGAGGTTCTAGAATTTAGATAAATAATCTAATAATCAGCTAAATATGTATTTCCCAAATGATTATATTATATACATTAATATGTTTATGTATTTGACCACAGCAACATTATTGCACAGCAAAAATGATACCAAATGAGTATAAAATTGCTCATATTTGGCAGCATCTTAACTTGAGCACGTTGACTGCCAATGGAACAAGCAAAATTATCTTGTTTTATAAAGATACAAAGAAACAGTTCTTGAAATAAGACTAAAGGCTTTTTCCCGTTGGAAAATAAGGTTTTAACACACTCAGAATGTACTCAAATTAATGTAAAACCTCATATTTTATACAGTACACAAATGAAACAGATACCTGAATAACCGTGTATGGGGGTCTTCCTCCAGGATGATGTTGGACTGTACCTGTGCAGAGGTGGAGTTGAGCTTCTCCAGTCCGTTCTCCAGCCGCTCCATCTTGGCCCTCAGCTCGCAGCTCTTTTGGCCCAGCAGACTCCGGTAAAGCTTGATCTGCTCCAGGAAGGACTTGGGTGTGGTGTAGTTGTAGCGCCTCTCGCTGGCCAGGTACTGTTTTGAGGTTTGGTTGACGCTGGTGTGGACGAATGCCATGAATTTGCTCACGGATTCCTTCACTGCGGGCTGGAAGAGAAACTGTTGTAACTGTTGACTATATACGCCATTATTGTCTACTGGGAATACTACAAACATTTTATAAGAAATATAAGTACCAAATCAGCTTGACTGGAATCATTCACAAACACGTTATGTCTGATTTACAAATCAGACTTACAAAATGAATTACTTTGGGCTTAAAACATGCACCCCAGCTTTAAGGCACTCTAAGCTGATATGCTCGGGAATACTCAATCTTGGTCCCACTTGGTCCCTTCAACGTGTCCTGGGTCTTCCCCTGGTCTCCTGCCAGTGGGACATGCCCAGAACATCTCCCCAGGGAGGTATCTGGAAGAGATGCCCGAGCTAACTTAACTGGCTCCTCTACACGTGAGGAAGCAGCGGCTCTACTCCGAGTGTTCCTCCCGTGAGACTGAGCTCCTCACCTTATCTCTAAGGGAGCGCCCAGCGACTCTGTGGAGGAAACTCATTTTGACCGCTTGTATCCGCGATCTCGTCTTTTCGGTCATAACCCAAAGCTCATGACCATAGATGAGGGAATGAAGGAAGATAAACCAGTAAATTGGGAGCTTTTCCCTTTCCCTCATATGTTAATTTCTTCTTCAGGGCTGACCTGTTTCTAATACGGTTGGTATGGCAACTTGGAGTTTCCCCTGCGAAAGAGGGCATCTGATTGGTCAACCCTTATATGGCACAAATCTGAATTCACAAAGATAATATCACAATTGAAACACTAGGATCTCAGAGAGCACTAAACCACAGATGTTTTAAGATAAACCTTTATTAGTCTTTTTAAGCCCACAATGGTGAGAGTGACACAAACGATTCATTGAGCTATGGGTTTCACATTGTTCATAGTCTTTGATGGAGACAAGCTCCCAATCAACTAATGGAATAAACCAACCTGGATAGTGTCCAGATCCTGGAGGAACCTGAGGCTGACCGACTCCAGTGCTTCTTGGGGCCACTCGTGAAACCAATCGATGGCTGTGCAATTGACCACCGCAGGGAACTTCCTGGCGCGCAGACGGAGCTTACTGCCCACCGGTGAGAAACACAGCGCCACCTGCAGGCCAAGAAGAGGATTTTGAACAGATTTGTCATAAAAACTTTTGCCAAATTGAACTTTTTAATTCAATCGTTCTATGTGGTGGGGGAGACATTCAGAAAATGGGAGAAGCATTCAAGCTTCATACTCCAACCCACAATCAATAATTGCAATCCAATCAGTCCCTGTGTTTTTTTTTGTTTTTTTTTTAAATACAGAGCTTAGGATTCTAAAACCAACGCCTTGACAGAGTTGGACCCTACCTTCTCTGGTGTTCCAAAAGAGAAGGGCTGATATTAAAGAGTAAAAGTAAAGAGCTGCTTTGCATTGTCATATTTCTGTTTTAGTTTATTTATTTGGATCAGAGCTTGCGTTAAACCTACACAATGTACTGAGTTAGGGTTTTATTTGATTTGGATTAGACATATTGGCCACATATGGCTTGGGCACGCTCTGGAGACCTACTTTAGTCTTGCTCCCATGAGATTTTATAGTTTTAAGTTTGCCTCTGACCAGTGCCAAATTATGTCCTATACATTACTGACAAATATAGTGCCCAAAACTATCCAAGGTGGCTTGATAAACTGCAAGAATTATTGTAGCTCACTCCATCAAAGTATGGTGGTCTTAAAAAAGTTCAGTTGTGGTTGAGCACAGGTCGACCACATGTAATTTGTCATTTCAGTAGTATAGTTTCTTCTCACAATGATGGTAGCACTAATCCCTGAAAGACGGAGTTGGGTATAAGGAGGCGTCTAGAAGAGGGACGGTTGATTACTTGCAGTTCCATCATTAAACACATGAGCCTGGAGAGAGTGAGTGAATGAGAGGGGCTGAGGCGCACATCTGCTGGGGGGGTGCAGACAGATGCTCCACACTGCAGCAGGAAAACAGACAAACACTGACAAGGAGAAGAGTCGCCTGGGGTAAAGCCACTCCCACTCACTCACTTTGGTGATACTTTACTTTGGCTCTCATCGTTATTTCTACCGTGAGATGGGAGAATTCTAAACCATCAGCCAAAGCGGCACGGTGGCACAAAGGTTAGAGCTTTTGGGTCACAGAAAGAAGGCCCTGGGTTTGATTCCACCTCCGGATAAGGCCTTCCTATGTGGCATTTGCGAGTTCTCCCCCTATCTGAGAAGGTTTCTCAGATACCACCACAACATGTACAATAGTCCCAGGTGAATGAGTTTTTGAGAGTGATTGTGGGACAACAGATGGAAATTATCCCAAGGCTGCAATGAGAACCGCTGAGCCTGTAAATGTCATTCATCTGTAAATAAGTAAATACTGCAATCATGTGCAAAGTGCAATACTGCAACTTCAGAATGTCCACTTGACTGCTTCTACTGCAGATTACATTGAGGGACATTGAGAAAGTGGAATCGCAGTCATACCTCCAGAGTATCTTATTATTTTATTATTCTATCATCTCTTATCTGAAATATTATATCCTAATTGATTGTGCATAATCTGAGTGCTCTTATTTTCTCATTTTTTTCTGCTGTAATATGCAACTATGAAATTTAAATGTCTCCACTGAGAGATGGATAAAGGTGTATCTTAAATTATCCTACAAGTTCATCTGAACCACACTTGACTGGACACACAACAGAAAAACTCTCTTCATGAAGACTCTACCTGTTGAGGACACTCAGCAGGTACAAATAAAATGCCACTTGTAGTCCTACTGTTCTGTGCACTGCAACACAGATAGTTTCCCACTGTGGAATGATTGAAGGTTCTTAGGCACAATCTTTAGAATGTGAAATGATTTCTGAAGAAGAGAATAAACATGACTAATGGAAAAGGCTCATCCTGTTGTTGAAGTTGGAAATGACCTTGAGCAAGATGTATATTTTTATCCAACACGGCAGCCAAGTTCAGAGGTTCCCTAAGTGGGAGTTGGCACCTAAGGGGTGCGATTCTGTCTTCCTCCATGGCTGACGCGCATAAGGCCAAGACATGTAAGTCATAAGTTTAGATACGGCAGCGGACTTGAGGCCATAGGGAAAAACAACGCTATGAAAACCGTATTATTTCATGGATCCATAAATTTGTGTGTGTATGCAATGACAGAAAGCTCCCTGTCTGTTTTCTTTTGAATTGAATTGAATTGAAGTTGCTCAGTCCACTGAAACAGACTGCACTGCTCATCTACAAACATCAGTGCTATATCTCGCTCCATATCTCCTCCTGCCTCAGGAGCAGTAGTAACTCAGAAATACAGCTAATTACCCACAATAGCTAGAAGGCCGATGGTTTAATCCTTCACCAGCACATGTGTCCTGGAGCTACCATACTCCCATTGTCTTTGCTCTGGTGAATCACGAATGGTAAAGAAGCACGGCTGCCACTTCTCCATCTGTATGCCTCAGGCCGGCTCTGGCAACAAATGCACGCTGTCACTGAGAAAATGGTACAATCAATTTTCGTAAAAGCAAATCATTATAATAAGACAGTGTGGTGAGCATTTTGAAGCAGCACATTTCGGGCTCTGTGATTCACCTAATGTCTATAGTTATTATGACTTTTTCTTTTTTATGTTGACATGAACGGCACTATTGACAACCAACGTGATTGCGCCAGCAAAAATATTCCTAAGATGATTTTGTTTGCCTACAACATTATGTGGAGACCAACAAGAAACAAATCGTGGTCAAAAAGACTTGAAAGGACTCGAAAGTCAAACTGTAGGACTTGGGACTTGTTGGCCTTCGACTTTGGACTCGACTCAGGTGGTGTTCTGTGGGTTTGTGCCAAAATAAAGTCTGCAATAAAAGTGAAATCCATGTTTTAAATGGTTCTTATTGACACTTTTAAAGAAATTTGCAGACTTTATGTCCACCATATTTGCTTTGGCTGCTGTGAAACACACATGCGCAGATTTGCAATACATCATAAACAGCTGTCTTGACTGGGGACAATGAATTGAGACTTGTGACTTGCTAAACAATGACTTTGTCCCACCTCTGTATTACGGTATATTTGAACTTTTAATCACGTTGTTCCCACGTCAAAAACAGACCCGGACAGAGAGGCAAGTTTCTTTGTTTCGCACAGTTCATGCAAAAGGCTACTCAAAGTGCTGAACGAAACAAGACATAAATAATCGATCAATGTGTCCTCTGCATTTGACCCATTCTGCAAAGCCACTCTGGCGTCCATCAGGAGCAATGTAGATGCTAAACATTTTATACCTATTATGCATTTTTTTAGTGGTAGGGGAAACCAGAGCTCCTGGAGGAAAACTACAGAGGCACAGGGAGAAACCATGCAAACTTCACTCAAAAAGACCTTGTTCCGACCGGGATTCAAACCCAGGACCGTTTTTACTGAGAAGCGAGAGTGCTAACCACTGACTAATCGCCATTCAATATATGATTCTGATAAAACCCCTGTTTTTCAGTTTGTGTCTCCAGATTTAAATGCATCAGTTGTTAAGAAAAAGAATTCCACTATATTGTTAAGCAGATGTTTGTCCCACACTGCCATAATGCTAAAGTTGGGGTATCTGACTTTCAAGCCACTGAAGGAGATGTGTTTTATTGTTTTAAGTTATGACTGACAGTGGGCGTTAGACAACAAAAGTGGGGAATTGTCAGTGTTGTCAAGCATTTAACATTTTACTTTGGACCAGAGCAGAGGAAATGGTCCGAAAAAGCGGCTCCACCTCTGCTGCTTTGACCCGTCCTGCTCCACCCAAAGGCTAGACCATCTCTGCTGCTTTTTAGAACGATCAATTTATTTGGTTTGTTTGTGTGGATGGATGTGTTTTTGCTGCTACTGACACCTGAATTTCTCCTACGGGGATCAATAAAGTCTATCTATCTATCACTCTCTCTATTACAAAAAACTAGGCATAGAAGGAGATACAATTCAAATGACTCAAACCTGAATTGCTATAAATGCAACTTCCAAAGTGCTGAGTTATGTTTTATTCAAACACATCCAAACAACAATCACAAAGAAATATCGGCTTATTCCAACAAAGTCAATGTTCTGAGCTTCACAACCTGGTGAAGCATGTGTATTGTCAGGGCTTAAGTTGGCTGAATGGTGTGTGTTCATCAGTGATGGGAATAACGGCGTTACTAACGCCGTTACTAACGCCGTTACTTACTTAACGGCGTTACTAACGCCGTTACTTTTTTCAGTAACGAGTAATCTAACTAATTACTTTGACAGTAACTATAACGCCGTTATCATTTCCGACATCCCGTTACTGCGCGTTACTCAAGACGCACAATGAACGTGTTGTCATGAGAGAAGGGAGGATGAGAAAACCTCTCAGCAATTATTGGCTGATGTAAATCATATTTCCTTTACAATCTACATGTCTACAGTTGAGAGGATGGCTCAAAAATTGTGTTTTTGAAACAAATATGGGTCTTAATCGCGCTCAACCACGGCTTGTATCACCGTGAGGCCTCAGAGGAGCGCATGTGAGCGCAGAAGTCGGCTGCATACAATTCCATCGATAAGCTCCTTGCTCTTCCTGGTTTATCTGCTAAGGACAGCAACAGGTTTGGCTAACATACATAAAACACATTTTTACATAATCTAAAATGCACATAGGGTAATTTTTCAATTACTATAGGAATGATAAGAAAGAGAGGTGAAGTGTAAGACGGTTGATTTTAGAAATTGGATGCAGCCGGCTGCAGCAAAACAGAGGAGTTTACGGAGGACACACGCGTTTTGTTTTACTTTTTAAAACTCATTGGACTCATTTCCAAATGGAGGATTACATATCTACGCTCAAACCATTCACTGGATTTAAACAAGGAACTGGTCTGAACCGAAGTGGACTGTGCAGGTCATTTATATGGTATAGTTATAAGGTAAGACCCATAACTCATAGTTTTGCGTTTTGTATGAACAAACAATGCGGGCATAAAACATATTTTGCTGTAGCCAAACAAATTGTCCACTTGATTTATATGATGTATATGTTCATCTGATTGGACTGAAATCAGTGCTTCACCAGCCTCACCGCTCGTCACCGGTGTTTC